GTTTGACCTTGGGGATTTAAATGAGTAAGAAATGAAGGTGAAATATTCTATTGTTGATTAAGGTGAAATATCCTTTTATTGGTTGATATGATAATGCTCATTTATCCTGACTAGTCACTACAAGTTTAATTCAAATTTTAATGTTAATCATTATTAATATATATATATATATATACATATATTTTTTTATTAATTATTTCTACACATGTTATGTGATTATAAATATTTATTTGAAAATCGTTCTCACTCCTTATGTTTCTTGTGTAATAAAATCATAAAAATCATTAAATAAATATAGATGGATGTTCCAGCGATTCTCGCTCCTTTTCCTTCAGTAATTTTTGCAGTCTTCTCTGGCACAACATGGAGTGTTGATGCTCTAGCCAACTCAGTAACTTTGAATGGAGTAGTTGTGTCTTCGTTCACTTTTTCTCCCTATCAAGAAATTCCCACGGTGATAGATGGACCCATTGTTGTTACTTTTTACTTACTCCCAACAAATCATGTGAACCCTATCGTAAATTTGTTCCAACCACCCATGTAATTATTATAGAGGTAGAAAAAGAAAAACTATGATATGTAGATAAACATGTAATAATCTGTACTATATATATGTAAGGAAAACAACTATGCGCGTAGTGAAAAATATTTACGGTATGGTATAATGTATAATATTACTGTACATGTGTTTTCTAGCTAAAAATATTATATACATATATTTTTTATTATTAATAAAATAAAATAAAATTTATTATTCACAGTCATTAACATATAAATTTATTAAAATATAAAAATAAGTGAAGTATAAAAATATAATTACAAAAATAATTAAACTTATCTTAAACTTTAAAAACAACAACCAAATAGAAACAAATTTTTACTTAAAAGAAACCGACAATTAGAGGTAGTATATTTTTTTTTTCTTCTGGCAGTTTCTTTCTATATCTTTTGTTATATTATTTTTGAGAAGTTTAATTAAAAGCATCCAATATCAATCTCTTTGACATGTGTCAACTCGTCACATTGTGGCTTCCTGCTCAAGATTATAGTGGCAGTTTTGCAATTTAAGTCTAAGTGACGTCTTTTTTCAAGGAATGAAATTTTTGTCCTTTCACCCATACTTTATGCTTTATGCTCCAGCATTGTTCCATTTTAATTACACATCACCACTCAGTGCGCGTTTGCTTCGTCTTTTGGACGTGAAAATTCACGTTCGTGAAAATTCACGTTCATGAGAAGTAAAAAATTATAGCTTCCACGTAAATTTGTTTCAAAACATGAAAAAAGAGTGAAAAATTACGTTTATAAATTCAAACCAAACACACACTCATTCACCATATCAAACTTTAGTCATTATAAATTTTATAAGTTAACATAATAGGGTATAAGCATGTAAAGGTAACTTACGAATATAGATGGATCCAAATTAGTTGAATGAGTTTAGATTAAACTTTTTTAGTGTTAAAATTAAACTTATTCTAATTTGATTAAAATTTGATATTATATAAGTTGGGTAATAAATTTTGTGTTTTTAACCTGTTATTAATTTGACCCAATCCGATCATATATAATAATAATAATAATAATAATAACAATAATAATATTTTAATGATCATTTATTCCAGATAATACTTATTGTTACTCGTACTTAATAATAAATTTTATGTTTTAGGTTGATAATATTGTAATAATATAATATATTTATTTTAAATTTTATTTTGTATTAATTAATGTTAATTTTTGAGTTGATAATAATGTAATAAATTAATAAATTTATTTTAGAATTTAACTTGTATAATTGTTTGTCTTATAAGTTGATAATATTGAAATTACAACTATGTATTAAATGATTTATATTTATTTTAAAATATTTAAATTTTTATAAAAAAAATATATATAATTATATTTACTTGATTAATCCAATCCAATCCATTTATAATTGAGTTGGATTGGATTAAATTTTTTTAAAAAATTATACAAATTTAACCTAATTTAACTTATTAAATTTCAATTAGATCATATAATAAATTTATCTAAATTTAACATAATCCAACTCGCTTATATCTTAATGGGATATACGTCCCGTACCATCCGGTTAGAGAATGATTCATTTCCCGGTTCATATTTTCATATACAAAAATAATACATCCTCCGAAAGTAATCTCCAAAAAGCATTCTGAAAATTAAAATATTAATTTAAATTATAAAATATTAAATTAAATAATTATTTTATAATAAATTTATTTAAAAATATTAATAAAATATTATTCAGATGATTCGGCGTCCATTTTCAGAGGCTGTAATAGTGTTCTTTCATATAAGTAGAAAATGATTTATTTTGCGGAAAATCTCGTTCTCGTGTCCATCATGTCATACAGGAAAACTTTTATCTTTAATTACACAAGAAAGTACAATTCTATTCATGGGATCAGTAATCATAAAAGTAAAATAATATTTCTAATTACGATTCATGTTTAAGTTAGAAGTTGAACTTTAATTCTTAATTAAAAAATATTTGTACCAAAAAGAGCTAACAAGTTTAAATAGTAAGAAATTGTTTAATTAGTTTCTAACACTATATGTTTGATTTTGCATTGGTGATTAATGTTTAAACAAGAATTAAATTAAAAGTGGTGTAAAATAACAGTATATATATGTTTTTTTTTTTTTTTTTTTTATGGTGATGGCCTCGATGTAGATTACGAATTTGCCCAAAGCAGTCCACGCCTGACTTAGACCCAATGAAAAGGGTGGTCATTTTCAAGTTTCAAGTTTCAACACACACACACTCACTCTCCATCGTGTGGTCTCAACGCCCACAAACACCCTCTCCACCAATCACAACTCACTGCCTTTGACCTTTCCCCACTCCAACCTCTTCCATAGATCGCTGTCTCACAATCAGTACAAAGACCTGACACATTCCTGTTCCCTCTTCACTGCAATTACTTTTCTTCTTCACCCTACTCTCCATTTTTTAACTTTTTTTCTTTCTTAATTCTCTCTTCACTCTTTTTTTTCTTCTTCTTCTTCTTCTAAAACTTGCATATCACTCTTGTGAGCCACCCCAATTATTGTGTCAACTCCATAAGCTTCTGGGGTTGTAAATTGGAGTTCTCTCTCTGCACATTTTTCTTTACTCTATCTTGGCATTTTTCCATCTGGGTTTTGCTTCTTTTATTCTGCTTTGTGTTGATGATGCTTCCTTCTTATCTTAGATCTGAAAAGTTTTAGGGTTTTTTTTAAAAAATATACATGCTTTCCAGTTTGCCCATAAGCTGAGGGATTTGGAATTTTCCTTGGGTTTTGGAAAGAAAGCTTTTTTCTTTATATTATTTTTCCAGATTCCTTAGGTTGTGGCTATGTGACAAGGGTAGCAGATTCCTTGCAAATGCTTATGCTTATGCTTCTTAGAAGCTCCACTAGTCCACTACTCTTCATATCTTCCCTTTGTTATCTCTCTCTTTGAACTTTCTTTAAAGAGAGAGTGTGTATCAATAACTGTGTTTGAGTTTGTGGTTATGATTCTATGATATAGCTATGTTATTGGCATGCTAGCTATGAGTGCTACTATTATTACTACCTTAAACTAGAACAATGAACAGGGGAATTGAAGTTGTTCTTTCTCCAGCCTCTTACCTTCAGAGTTCCAATTGGTTGTTCCAAGAAAGCTTGGGGACCCGGTGGACTCCACAGGAGAACAAGCTGTTTGAGAATGCTTTGGCCGTGTATGATAAGGACACTCCAGACCGGTGGCTCAAGGTGGCAGCCTTGATTCCTGGCAAGACTGTTGGTGATGTGATCAAACAGTACAGAGAACTGGAAGAAGATGTGAGTGTCATTGAATCAGGGTTTATACCAGTTCCGGGCTACACCACTGATTCCTTCACATTGGAGTGGGTCAACAATCAAGGATTTGATGGCTTCAAGCAGTTCTATAGTGTTACTGGAAAAAGGGGTGCTTCCACTAGACCATCTGAGCAGGAGAGAAAGAAAGGAGTGCCATGGACTAAAGAGGAACACAGGTAGTTGCACATCGTAAGCCTTTGTTATGTATAGAGTCTATCTGGAACTTTTAAGAGCTTTTCTAAGCTTTTGAAAGCTCTTTTATGCTTTGTTGCTTCATAAGTGATCCCTATTTAGATTATGATTAAATCCATGCCTGCATCAAATAGTGGAGGAAGAATCCATGCTTGGCTTGGCTGTTAAACAACTTTGTAGTTAAGGGTTTTGCTTATAAATTTGAGTTTTAGGTAATTCATTTGTGCGGTTATTGGTTGAATGTTCTGGTTACTGTATATGAGGTTGGTATTAAAAATGCTTACTTAATATGGTCTATTGTTTTTTCACATATATTTTCCTAATTCCAGGGATTTTGCTCTTGAATCAGTAAGCAACATTGAACATATTAAGAGCTTAAAAGAATTTTACATTATCAACTAATCAAAAATTATTTTGAGGATGATTAATATAAAAGCTGCCAATCATACCATACATGACACTATGCGATTTGATGATAGTGTCACTTGCAGTGAATTCTAATTAAATTCTTAAAATTAAAAAAAATGTTCATTGTGAAATTTGTGCTGAATTTAATTTGATATTATCTTAATCTTTTGATTTATGCAAGATCTGCTGTCTAATGTTGGGTTACTTTCTAAATCGACCATTACAGGCAATTTCTGATGGGTTTGAAGAAGTATGGTAAAGGAGACTGGAGAAACATATCTCGCAATTTTGTGACCACAAGGACACCAACTCAGGTTGCAAGTCATGCTCAAAAGTATTTCATTAGACAACTAAGTGGAGGAAAGGATAAAAAGAGATCCAGTATCCATGACATCACAATGGTCAATCTCCAAGAAACAAAATCTCCTTCACCAGAAAGTAACAAACCCCCTTCACCAGATCACTCAGTGAAGGATGTGAATCCACCCCAGAGCCAGAGATTGTCTACTACCACCATGGTTAAACAGGAATATGATTGGAAAATGCCATGTGAGAATGTGCCTATGCTTTTCAATTCCTCAAATGGAAACATGTTCGTGACACCACTTTGTGGGATTTCTTCATATGGGTCTAAACCACTTCATGAGCAGCATTTGTTCACTGGCTCTCTCCATGGATGCCAATTTGGACCCTATGATACTATTATGCAAATGCAGTCCATGCAAAATCAATGAACTATGTGCAATGCAGGGTTTAGAGTTCTCTCAAGGTACCAAAATGCTAAACATTATTCATTGATGTTGGATTTGATTTTCAGATGCTTAATGGTGGTTTTATGTACATATGTTGAGGAGAATTCCGATGTTTCCTTGTTATTAAGCTTTGAAGAGTGTTCATATTGTATTCTAATGTTAAAGTTCTGGGACCAATGATGCAATATCAGAGTTTGGCAGTGATATGCATCTTCCACCTAGGCAGAAAAGAATTATCTGTAAAATGTACGTACGTGACCAGAGGAGTTACCTCGAGTGTGTGACTCCACTGTTTTTAGATGCTTTATGCTTCAAATAAAACGTAGGCATTTGCAGCTTTGGTTTATTTGCTAACGAATGCAATTGTTTTTTATTTTATTTTATTTTATTTTAAGAAATCTACCATTTTTGTAACCATATATATATATATATATTAATATATATATATATATATATATGGGGTTTCAAGTTCTCACAAGCAATAAAACAGGGGCTAGACCTTCAATGTTACTCATTTTAATGATGTACTCCTGTGGCATTTTGTGTGTAAGGTTTTAGTATAAAAATTATGAAATGTAATTAATATTTTAAATTTTAAAAAAATTAAGTAGTATTGTTATTTTTTAATATATCATTTGTTTTTTATATTAATTAAATTCTCTCGTTTATATATATTTTTTCATTCCATAGTAAATGATTAAAGATATGATAAAAAATTAATGCTTCAGTAGTATTGTAAAATGTCAATTAAAGTAAAATAAAAAAAAATGAGAACAAGCATTTCTATATAAAAAAGCGTTCTTTTTTTATTATCAACCTAAATTTGAGTCACTTAAACATGTTGCTCTAATCACTTGGTAAATCTTGTTGTTTGATTAATAAATCAAACATAAATTTTATGCTGGAGAATGTATTAGACCATTCTTCTATCGTATAAAGTCCACGATTCTACAATAAATCATTGTTTTATGTGCAACCCATGATTAAGTCCACTAGTTACTTTTAAATCAATGTATTAAGTTGAGACCCAATGGGTTAATGATCGTACACAGCAACTGAATATTGATAATAAAACAGAATCTTAATGCGTGGAATGATCGAAGTCAAGAATCATTCACGTGCTTTTGTAGGTAAGTGGAAGCAGTTAATTTGGACACTAGGCCATGTCATCATATGCTTGGCTTGAAAAATGCTGAGTCACGCACCATTCTTCAAAGTGACGCATAAATATACCACGTTGTCTTAGTTAATTTCCACTACACTTACAAAGGCAAGAATGTAAGATGATAAAGGATGATCAATTATATTATGTACATTGATTTTGTACAACATGTTTTTTACAAACAAGAAATAAGGAAAAAAAGCAAATAGTGAAATTTAAAACCAACATTTTAGTTTACTGGTAACTAAAGGTGGTGTTGTCAAGTGTGAAACTACAAGGTTGAAAATAGTAGGACGGAATAATCTCTTATACTATGATGAATTAAGGTTTAAGTTGTCACTCACTTTATTTTGTTTGGAACCTAAGAAAAGAAATAGAAAGGATAGAAAACATATTTATATATATAAAGAAATTTCTCATGTAATAATATTGTGAACCGGGAGTTATCTATGTAACCACATCGATAAAATTTTTTTTGTTTCGAGACTAAATTCTCACATCTTACTTTTAGATATCACTCAAAAACCCTCTTAACTAATAAAAATAATTATATATATATATATATGTAT